TATTTTCAAGATTTCTTTGTAACTTATGTAGGAATGTCCAAGGAATTTAAAAAGCGATTCGCTTACAAATGTTAGTGTCTCTAGCGCTTAAAAACTTCGAGATATTCGCAAAAACGAATTTGAATTGATAATTCGAATATCGATATTTATCGATAATTTGAATACCAATTATATTAATATCGAATTTAATCGATAATATGCACATCGGTTTTTATCAATAATCTGAATGTATATGGCTATCGATAATCGATAATCGGATTATCGATAATCTGAATATTCGATTCTTATCGATAATCTGAATATCGAGCTTATCGATCATCTAAAAATCTCTTGTTTTGATCTTCGTTCTGTTATGGTTATTTCGTACGAGTGCGCAAGTCTGTACACACAAGTGTACTCTAATCTTAAATAAAGAATCCTGCTAGATAGATCCTGTCGCTGGCATCGTCGCAGTCCTTCCTTTTTGCGTCCAGCAAGCCAGAGCTGCAATTAAAAGAAAACTCTTGGGTCCCTCTCGGCTATGAGAATCTCAATGTTAGAAGACGCAACTGGGCAGAAAATATGTCGTCCCCGTTCAGCTAATAGTTTCTTCAGGAAGAGTACTGCTCCCCTTATCAGGCAAGTCGAGCCATAATATTGTTTTTAATTTTTTTTTAATATAAATTTGATAACATTGTACATAGAAAGATAAATTTGAATTTAAAGAAGTAAAAATCACATTTATATATACTTATGTTAGTTCCCGAGGTATTTGTGAATCCCACAAAGCATATTATTATATTTATTTAGGCAATTTGTTAAGCTACCCTCGCTTGTTACTATCGCCATGTAGCATGGTCTATTTTGTGCGCCGGCCGCTCTGAGGCTACGTGCAGTGCCGGCAACCGGTCACGTTTATTGTCGGACTCGGAGTCGCAGTCAGAGTCAGATACAGATACAGAGACGTAGGCTGTGGCTGCAGCTCTGGCACCAGTGGAGACCGACTGACTGAATAGCTGGCTGGCTGGTTGACTGGCTGACTGGTTGGCCAGCTGTGCAGCCCGCTGCTCATAACTGTAAAAACATGCTCGCCCACTTCCTTGGAGCATGGGGTCTGCGACTGAGACTGAGACTGGGACTGGGACTGAGACTGGGTCGGAGGCAGCGCATTGTGTCCATGTGGCGTGTGTTTGATTTTTGGTTTCATTTATTGCTTCATTTCTAGCATTGTTGTGCGAGTGTGTGCGAGTGTGTGTGGGCATGTCATTGGCAGACTCCGTGCATGTGCGTGTGTGTGTGTGTGTTAATTTTTAATTGTGCTAAATGTGCACATAAATATCAACACAGATAAATACAAAAGCACGATATATATAAGTATATACAATGCAACAACAACAACAAAAGCGACAATATTCACAATTCACAATTCACAATTTTCAATTTCAACATCCACCCATGATTTGGCTTATTTGTGGCTTTGCCTCGTTGTTGTTGCTGTTGTTGTTGTTAGCTGTGGGGCATGAATGGGAATATGTGCTGCCTTTTGTTAGCTGACATTGGCACCAGCAGCTGTCATTGTATCTATGTGTGTGCGTGTGTGCGCGTGTGTGTGTGTTGGGTATGACTTAATAGCTGATAAATAATGCTATTCGCCCATCGTAAATGGTCGTCACATGTGCGTCTTGTGTACAAAATGCATTCAAAATGTGTCAAATGCTCATTGGCCCATTATCGGCGACGAAGATACAATTGTATCTCAAGGGATACAAGATACATTTTTATTGCGGCACTCGCATATGAAATAAATAACATTCTGTCTAGGATCCCTGCACATCTACCACTTAGAGCTGATGACCTATTCAGAAAATTGCTTTCATTTGGCAAAGATGGAAATATGTAATTGTGAATAGGCGAAAGAGTGTATGTGCGTGTGTGTGTGTGTTTGTTTGTGTGTGCGTTTATCCTTTATTTGCCTTGAATATAAGTCAAATTTTGAATAAATGTTTTTTGTATTATATTTATGCCTTTTGGCATAAGTTTAACTATATTTTATATATTTGCCTTAAATATAAATTAAGTTTTTCATTTTATTGGCATTCAACTAATATTATTTATAATTTAAGCCATATTTTATATATATTTGCCTTGAATATAAATCAAATTTTAAACAAATATTATTTGTATTATATTTTATGGCCTTTTGGCATTCAACTAGATTTTGAACTATATTTTTTAGCCCTTTTTCTGACTTATTTTTCGTTTTATTACTATTTATTATTTCAGCTGATTCGTGTTTTTATTATTTCAAGATTAAACAAAAATTTGAGAAATTCGCATTAATAAATTTATTGCACTTATAAACATTTTTGCCGCGGCAATAATATTGTGCGTGGTATTTTTGACCCACTGCTGCGTGAAGCACAATTCAACAAATATCGTGTTGTTCTTGGCCGTTTTAAGGGGTGTCCTTAAAAGTTTGCCCATCTAGCGTGATATTTCACAAGTCGTTTGTAAAATAAAACAAAAAAAATATAAATGCAGCCAATTTTGTATTTAAATAAAATGCAACCGCGGAAGAATTCAGCATAGATCGAAGTTTTTTTTTAAGCTGTGAACGAACTTCTTATTTCAGAAACTTATTTTCCTGCCACATTGCCTTATTATTTCCATATTAAAGACTCAATCGTTGTACTCAATTCTAAGAAGTTTTCTCATTCGATTTATAAAGTCTCACGCTATTTTCAAGTTTTACATTTTCTGATCATAGGGATTTCGATTGTGGAAAAATCTTTAATTTTTTTTTATTTCTGTAAGAAATACAATAAATTTTAGAGCCAAGATTTATTTGTATGTATTTTTCTGTAAGACAAACAATCGATTTTAAAGTCAAGAATTATTATTATTTAATTTTCTTTAAGATAAACAATTTATATTAAAGCCAAGATTTATATATATTTATCATTCTGTAAGCAATCAATTTTATATATGTTATATATGAAAAGTTCAAAGAGATACATGCTGAATATATATAAAACATGTAATTTTCGCACTCTGCGAACCTTTTGTACACACCTCGGTTGTATTTGTGTGTGTGTGTGTGTGTGTGTGTCTGCTTTCATGGATTATTATTCCTCTGTGTATTTATGCTTCTGCAAATAGCGTGAACTTTGCCAACGCCCGCTGCGAATTTCGATTGCTCAAGTGTGCTGATGACTTGATATTTCCAATGGTAGCTGCACTGTGCCCCCGTTTAATTTTCTTTCTTTCTTTCCCTAACAGCTAAATTCTAAATGTTGGCTTTGATTTTTCGTTGCCTACTTTCAGGCTGCTGCGGTTAATAGGCAAGCGCCCGCCCAAAAGCAGGCAACAATAAATTTTGCTTAAATTCGTTTGCAGATTCGAATTTATTTTTACCATTGATTGCGAGCTTTTAATATTAAATTTATGGGTTTTTACAAACCTTAATATTCATTAGGGATTTACCCACGTGTACTTTACCCATGGAGTCATCGTAAATAATTAAATGCGAACAGCTGCTGCTGCTGCTGCTGGTGCTGCATTTAACAACCATCAACTGGTTGTTCGCACTCGTGTCTCTCAGATACAATCTGATGACTGGCATTAAGCTGCGATTTTTTGCGGAATCGGAAGCGAAACAAATCAAATGCCATACAAAAGTGGGCACACGAAACTCAATCATTCATTAAGGCGAACAATGAGGCGTCTAGCATCAAAAGCCATCGATAATTCAGTCTAGAGCAGAACACGGCGGCACAGTGGCACAAGACTATATGGAAAAAACAAGAAAAAACGTATATGTGGGGTAGATTTTTGGAGAAAAATATGAAAGTTCACTGAAAGAAATTGTTAAACAAAAATACAAAATGAAAATGGGTAAAGTTTTTTTCTCTATTTTATTGGAATTCTTTTTATGCTCAGAAGAGCTACTAATATAATTTTTAATGAAATCTTATATGTGCCTAGAAAAAATTGATTAGTTTGTTTGTTTTCCAATAAATAATTGAATATATAATTGTATATATATTTGTATATGTAATAATAAATATTATTCATTAATATACAAACTAACCTTGCCTAATATACGTTTGCTTAGTCACTTTTTATCCAAAATTTAAATTTCTTTTGTGAACATAAAGGCATCAAATAACAGCTCGTATTGCTTTTTGATTGTTTCTAAGCCACTTTCTATAATCTGCTCACTGTTCTTTTTGGTCACAGCGAAAAAAAAAGGACCAAATGAAGTCAATAAAAAAATGCAGTATTATTATTGTATATTATTTTATTATTATTATTCTTTATTCATATTTTTTACTTCATTTTATGTATATTTTATTATTATTTATTTTATAATTTTATTATATAATACTTTTATTAATTATTATTATTTTATATTTATATAATATAATTATTATGATCACTATGATTATTAATATTATGCTCATTACTTTATCTATTTATTTACTTTTAAAAACAATCCATAATTATTTTGTTGTTCAACAAGCGTGAACCACTGTGCAGTCGCCTGCTTGGTTGGCACTTCAAACAAATAAACAAAGGCAAAGTGTGCACAACAAAAACACACTACTTAACACAACTGATGTGTTGCGGTTGTTGTAAATGTGTGCTGTTGTTCTTATTGTTGTTTTTGTTGCTGTTGCATTGTGCTAAATGAGCTGTTGATGCCACACAGCCGATCGCTAATTAGAGCGCTTTCTGTTGCATAAATTATGAAACGAAATTCAAGCCAAGATTTTGGGCACAAACACGTTTTTGGCCCTGTCACGCCCACGCAAACAGCTGCTGAACGACACACACGCACACAAAATATGGCCATAATAACAAACACGATAATGATATTAAGTATACGCCAAATTGGTCAAAACAAAAGAGAAAAACAAAAAAAAAAGAAGCGAACGAACGAATAAACGAACGTTGAAAATAAATGCCGAGCGGCGCAGAAATTCTAGTGATCCGGGTAATAGCTGGAGTTAATGCGACGCTCAATGGGCCCAAGTCGCGTCAGTTGTGCCGTGGCAGTTGGCCGAGTCAGACGCGTAATTTAAGCCGAGATCTCAAGACTCGCTAACGAACCGCAGCGCGACTTTTAGACTTTGCACGCGCCATCGGGGGGCAAGTCTCTCTCTCTCTCTCTCTCTCTCAAGGTTAAAGCGATGTCATTTTTTCGCAACATACGCTCGTCGCTGGCCTCGTCCAGAAAGAGCTCGTCGCGCGACACAACGCCCGTGCGCAGCTGCGGCTCCCGGCCGGCGAGCGTGATCAGTTCTCGACGGGATTCGACGACCAGCTCGACGCTGCAGCGCGGCGATACCTTCATACTGAACGGCTCCGATGAGGAGCAACAGCAACAGCAACGCGACGGCGGCGGCACCGAGTCTAACAGCAGCACGCTGGAGAAGAAGTCGAAGAAGTCAAAGGTTTTTAGCAAATTCAGCACGTTCACGAAGCGCAAGAAGCCACCCTCGCCGGAGGAGGTGGCCAGCTATGAGCATCATCCCAGCGATACGGCCACGAATACGTACTACAAATGGCGCAGCGATGGCGATCGCATGCTCGACTATGATGCGCAAACGGATCCATTCAATTTCCTTTACGAACAGGGTAGTCACAAGTCGGGCATGCAGCGGCAGCCCAGTCTCGGCTCCACGTCCAGCGGCAGCTTCGACAGCAGCACCTATCGCAAGAGCAAGACGCCGACGCATCTGCGCGAGCAGCTGGAGCAGCTGAAGACGCACTCCAATGACGATCTGCTCGAGGAGGATGAGCGCGACAAGTACAAGACGGTCACACTGAACAGCTTTCGGAAATCCTTCAGGGATCGCCTGCTGCAGCAGCAGAAGGAGACGCCGCATAATCCCGCCTGGTTCGTGGAGGTGCCCGCGCCGCCGACTGCGGCGCAGCAGTCGGGCGGCCATCGATGGGACTCCAAGGAGAATCGACCCGATTTTCTCGTTTTCGAGAATGACAACTATCGGCCGCAGTCGCGCTCGCCGCTGCGCGACAGACCCTCGCGCTCCGCCACCCGCTCGCCCGTCAAACGCAACGAGACATTTCGCGTGGCGCAGCCCACGCTGCGGCACATGTCGCCATCCCCGACGCCGCCAACGCCCGCGTCTGCCATACGTATCGAGATCAAGAACTCCATATTGCCGCATTCGCCGGGCCGTCTGGTGCCGGTGGGCGTGGCCAAGCCCATGCCCACAACGGAGTACTATGCGCAGCGGCTCTTGGCCAGCAGCGTGGCGCGCCAGGCGCCGCCGGCGGGCAAATGGTATCGCAGCCCGAGTCAGCATTCGCCCACGCGGCAAATGGGCGTGGCACAGCAACAGCAGCATCCACAGCAGCAGCAGCAGCGCTGCAACGGTCGCTATCAGACGCTCGTGCAGATTGGCAGCGAGCAGGCCAAGTTGTCACCGGCGCCCGCCCGAGGACGTGCACCCACCCGCGTACAGCTCTACGGCAGCAAGCCGAGCAGTCGACAGCAGCAGCTGCAGCAGCTGCAGCAGCAGCAGCAGCCGCCCGCCTCCACCTACTTTGGCGGCCACTATAATGCACCTGTGCCCGCGGCGAAGCCGTTGACCAGTTCGCGTCAGAGTTCTGCCGGCGGCGGCGTGGGCTTTGCCAGCGCCAATTGGGGGCGTCGCGAGCAGCCGACGTCCAGAGCCGTTCACGTTCACGCCCCCGCGCCGCGACGCAATCGCTCGCCGATCAAGATTCCATGGCGATAGATCGAATACACGACTGATCAAATACAATCGGCCAAAGCTGAGCGCGTGACACGAACACGAGCACGAGCACGAAACGAGACGTGTTTCAAATAAGACACACACAAAACGAAACTCAAGTTAAATATTTAAATAATACAAAACTAATATAATAAATGAATTTTAAATTATACAACAAATAATAAATAGAACATTTTAAGTGTTTGTTGTTATTCCATACATAAAGGAGTAAAGAGATAATAATGTTGTTCTAAATTCCAATATATAGTATATATTCTGCCGTAGCGCAGTGGGCGAAGCGTCGAGCACGAATTTCATTGTTCGAACATCCGTCAAGCTGCTAGACAAAAAATAAACATACATTTTCGTTCTCAAATATTCTTAGTTAAGCAAAAAACTATGCTTTTTCTGAAATATTTTACATAATTACAAAGAAAAGTCTTGAATTGAGCACAATTTATTTATAAAAAGATTTTGCATGCTTGAAATAAGCTTGATAGCTTATGTTAAAACGTTTTAACGACTTCTTTAACATTGACTTACATTCTTCTTAAATTATGTTATATTATAGTTATATTAAAAAATCTTTTTTTAAATAAATTGTGCTAAATTTAAGACTTCTTATATTATAATTATATTCCTATATTCTTGCGCGTTAATAATTTTTGTATATTATTATAAAAAATATTAATCAAAGATAATTTTTGTAAGATTCAGTACTGCATGCAGGTTGAAAGTAGTTCTTGATGTAAGAACTTTGTTTTAAGTTTGATAAGCTTAGAACTTGTCTTGATTTTAACGGGTTTTGCACTTGATTTAAGTAAAAAGTCGTAGTTTTTTCTTTAACCATTATTACTTAAACATTTTTTCAGAAATTTAAATTTTGATTGATAAACACATATAATCATATACTTTTGGCCATATTTGACTATTCAAAACCAAGCTTAACCTGAAAAGTCTGCTGAAAATGTCATGCTCATAGCACGCCTAAAAATATCGCATAGCACTTTATATAGCTATCGCCAGGCGCTCATCTCTAGCCACAACTCCCCGTGGATATCATGAGGTTGGCGACAATTTGCGTCATTCGAAGCGAATATTATTTATTTTCCTATTTTTATTTACAAATTGTGCTAACAATTGATTCATGTCCAAAGTACCCGAAAATTTTTTGTCTGTACATTTTGTTGTTGTTTTTGTTGTTGTATGTAAAAAACTGAAGATTAATTCAACAATGGGAATTTGTTTACAAACGAGCAAAAAGAGAGAAAACAAATCCAAGTTGTGTTGTGTAAATTGATAATTATCATTTATTGGGCTAACAAAATCTTGCCCAACTAACTCCTTATATGTTGTATGCGGCTTCATTAAGAAGAAAATCAACAAGTTGAATGCGAATGCAAAAATACATTCATTCAGATATGCCCATCTATATATACCTGACATTTTTATTGAGGTGTTAATTATGTCTCCGTTCGTGGTATTTGTTTTAAAAATCTTAAAAATTTACCATACTTTACTTTAAGTTTTTTTTATTATGACTTTTATTATACCCTGAAACCATTGAAAATGGGTAAAAAGGGTATTATGTATTTGTGCAAATGTATGTAACAGGCAGAAGGAACAGGCATCTCCGAGCCCATAAAGTATATATATTCTTGATCAGAATCAACAGCCGAGTCGATCTAGCCATGTCCGTCTGTCTGTCCGTATGTATGAACGCAAGGATCTCAGAAACTATAAGAGCTAGAGACTTGAAATTTTAGCTATAGGTCCTCCTAGTGCCAGCGCAGATCGAGTTTGTTTCCGATATTCGATAGCTTGCCCCGTTTCCAAGTAATCGATAAAAATCGACTTGACTAGTATAAACATATATATATCAAGTACTTTTCATTTTATACCTATCGCGTGTCGAAAGAAGAGGGTTCAGGGTATCCCCTAGTCGGGAGCTTCTTACTTGTTTTTCTTTTAAGTTTTTGTTTATTCTTATTTTTGGTCAATATTAACTCCGTACGGGCTTTCGTGTCCCTCGTATGACTAACTGTGCATGACAATGGCTGAGCGTTACGTGACGAGCATTCGATTTACTTGCGACCATATTTCGTTTTACGGCGGGTTAGTTAGAAAGCAGATGCGCTTATTATGGCCGTATTTGGATGTTCAGAATACTACGCTTAACGGCATACCTTACCCCGCAGATATATATATGCATATATATATTTGATGTATAAACAAAAAGTGACGTCAACAACCAGTTGATTTGTTCGAGCACCTTTTTGAGTTATGCAAACAAACGATTTACGGATATCTATATACAAATATATTTATATATTCATATGCATGAGGGCATAAATGATTTAAACCAAATATGTGTTCGAGTAGATCAAAATGAATCATATTCATTATACGATTATCTTGCTGCACGTTCGGTTTTTCGCATATGAAGTGGGCTTGGGCATTTTGTTTTATAATGCACTATTTTATTTTTATAAAATATTCCTTGAATATATAATCTCTCTGACTATTTACATTAAAATAAGAGATGCAGTCAACTGCAAATTACTCTCAAAGCCAACTGCATTAGAGGCATTCCATAAATATTTATTAGTTCCTATTCATTATTCATTATTCATTACTCATTATTTGGTATTTTTAAATTTTTTTATTTGTTATTCAGTATTTTTTATTAATAATTTATTATTTATTATTAATTAATTATTATTATTATTTATCATTTAATATTTATATATATATATTTTTTTTTTTCAATTTTTTGAAGGTAGTTTCTTACTAAAGCTTCTATGCGAGAGTTTCTCAATTACATTTAATTATATAAATGCATAATTGTCTTTCGTTCTGAGAATCTGAGTTGTTTACATGTCGAAAGAGTTAAAGGTAGTTGAACTAACACCTTCCGCTGAATTATTATTAATGTATTCGAATTGATGTTTGCTGTCAAATTGCTTCTATTTTTTATTTTGCACCCACATCATTTTGTTTGTTTTTTTATAAGCCAGCTTTGCTGCCGAAACTCTTGGCGTTATTCAAGTGTAACCAAAAAGATTTCCGTTGAATTTAATAAACATTTGTTTATTTGAATGTGGAGAAATACGATATGTTAGACGAAGATCAAGAAATTGGGGCTTAAGAAAATAGATGCATATCTGAGATGCCTGGGAACAAGATGTTCGATAACTGAAACTGTCTTGAATCTAAGGCTCGTGTTTAGAATATCACAATGAGAAGGAGAATTCATATATATTCTTAAATAATAATTATAATAATAAAAATAAAAATATATAAAAAAATAATATATTATTTAAAAGAATAATAATAATAAATAACAAATAATGAATGATGAATAATGAGTAATGAATAATGCGTAATGAATAATTAATGTTGGAGATAGTTTCCAAAGCGCAACCTAAATATATTGGCAATATTTACAAACCCAAGTTTTTTATTATTATTATATAAATAGAGACTCGGACCTCGAACCAGTTAAATAAATATATAATAATAAAAATAATAATAATTATTATATTACAAATAATAATAATACGAATAACAATTAACAATAGCAATCACAATTGTATTTAGACAAATGGTTTTTAAATCTTCTAAAAATGATTCCACTTTCTTCAATTAGTTATGTTTTAGAGAAGAGTCGATAGTCTCCAAAATAGACTTTGCCTTTCTCCCTAGTTCTCGCCATCTCTCTCTCGCTGTCTCCCTCCATCTCGCTCAATATCTTAACTAATACTAACTAATTAACCAATCTCTGCTCTAATATCATCAGCTTGAAACTTGAGCTTCGACTATTTATAACACTTTCTAATGTAGTCACAACGGGGTCGTTGTTAGTTGCTTTGACTATTCGCATTGAGCTTAGGCCAGATAAGTCGCCAACTTAGCTTGGCAATAGCAACTAAAACAGCAACTAAAGCAGCAACTAAAGCAGCAACAACAGCTTTAGTTAGTCGCTGATCTACGCATGATCTTGAGCTACTTAAAAGTACGCCCAAGTTGGTTGCTCTAATGTTTGTTTTCGGTTAGGTTGGAAACGCATTTGGCTAGCTTTGTGGCATCTTAAGTAGACTGTGAAAAATAAATGTAATGTAAACTTTGGAGTCGTAGCCTCGCTTTGGATAAATTGCGTGGCCCATCTGCAAACAGGTTAAACGCTGAAAATCATCAGACCCCAAACTAAAAAGTGTTAATTAATGCAAAATTTGACAAGCTACCAAACATTAAGTCAACTGAGCCAACTCAATGCATTAGACGAGACTTCACGACTGCGTGTTACCCTGTAACCAAATGTCTGCTGTCTTAATATACATTTACTAGCAAGAAATAAAGAAATAAATTCTATACAAATCTTAAAATAGTCGGCTTATGTGGAACAATGCATATAATAATACAAGTATTTTCTGCGAAGGCATATAAGTATTATATATGTGGGTTTATGTGTGTGTGTATGTATGTGTGTGCGTGTGGGCGAGTGTGTGCTAGTATATGCATGAATGTATGTATGCATTTATGTATGTATGTATGCATGCATGTTTGTTTTCTAATAGCAAACGCAGACCAACGAATTTCTAACAAGTGCTCTTCTCCTCGATTCTCAAGAATTCAAGTAGGCCTTGCTGAAATTCAACAATGCAGGCAACGTTGGCTCCAACGGCCTGTGGAGGAGCAACTTGTGGCGGTGGAGCAGGAGGAGGTTGAGCGGGTAAGTGTATGTATGTTGATGTATGTATGTAGATGTATGTATGTAGATGTATGTATGTGGATGTATGTATGTAGATGTATGTATGTAGATGTATGTATGTAGATGTATGTATGTAGATGTATGTATGTAGATGTATGTATGTTTGTATGTATGTATGTATGTATGTATGTATGTATGTATGTATGTATGTATGTGTGTAATTAAAGCATTTACCTTAAATATACCCTAGATTTGCCTGTTCGAATCATATGAACAGATTAGATTGACTGGAATGTTGTTGCTGATCGACAATTCTAATGTAATCGTAGTTGCCTTCCTCTGCCTGTCACATACACTTGCACAACTCCATAATAGCTTAACCCACCACCAATTTTATAGGGTATCCAAAAAAAGAGCAGCAAACAAATTTCGGCGAAATTCGGCGCTTCTGTAAAATTGTTAATTTTGTACTTAAAGTAAGCTGTTCTTTTTGTTTATTCCTCTCGTCTTTCCTTTTACTGTTGTTCTTTAA